AAAAAAAAAAAAAAAAAATAATCGCGATAGAATTGTATTTATTCAAGAAGTAATAAATTTTTTGTATATCGCGAGATAATAAATGAAATATATGCGCAAAATTTATCTAATTATTTTCAAATTCCTTATAAATAAATCTAATTTTAAAATCGATCTTTATCTTTTCAGAAATCAAACGATTACAGCCAATGGAAGAATTGAATGGAACTCGTGAATATAATCTTTTCATCGAGTGTCATCGCAGTGATCGCGATTTGTACTTACTTCGGGCACAACGAGGAAAACATTATGTTGTCCACGATATTCGGCACGTAATAAGCGGGTATCGGTGATAAACGGATGGCTCCTTCGTCGTCGATCGTGGGTGGATATATACCGGCCAGGACTAGTTGCAACGACATTTTCGTTCGATCGACATCCGAACTGTAGGCATACACGCTGCCATACGTGTGGTGGCCGCCTAAAAATTTACTATACTTCGTTCTCAACAACGCGCCAAGTTGAAACTCTCTTATCTTCCCTTTCTGAATAGGAAATAGAAAAGATACACGTTCAATAATAATTTGATGATCGAGTGCAAAATTTGATGAAGAATCGAATGTGTTTAAATATACTCACATCGGTTAATTGGCCGTAACCAAGTGACTCGTAGATAGAATCATAAGGTGCTTTAGGATATATCTCTAATTTGCTTGGTGTCCGATCGCCGTGTCTAAATATCTGAAAATTTTCAGGGAGGATTGTTGAAACATGGAATGTTAACGAAAATGGAAAATATCAAGTGCATATCGCTTATCCAAAGACTATTTTTCAAGAAAAGCTACGTTTCATCGTTTCATCGTTCGTCAACGATAATTAAACAAAATAATATTTCGACAATCGTTCTCTTTGTTTGATAAAATTTTGAAATCGATTTCGCATTGATTAACGGTCAAAAATAAAATTATTATACACCATCATTGATAATTCTTTCTGTCAACTTGTATTTTTATACGGAAAAGAAAGAAAACAAATTGCCTAATAATAATAAAATTATAATCGTTTATAATATGATGATCACTTATGATTATTTAAAAATCATGATGAAATGCAAAGATTTATCATTGTGGAAATAAAATGTAGCGAATATTATTTTAATTCTTTACCGATCGAATATGTAAGATAGGTTATAAACATGATATATAGAATAGATTCGTTTTCGAAAAATATAAAAAGACACATGTCATTGTAAAATAGTTTTGTTGAGAAACACTTCAACATAATCGATTTCTTTTGCAAGAATTTGATTAATGAAACATTCGAAGATAAACGTGTTTAAAAAATAAAAGCATCATCTATTTGAAAAAACACAATTCCTTTTAACGTTTAAGATTATTTTAATCGGCAATGATCAATTTTATTTAATAAATTTGCAAAAATTGTTCGATCAAATTTGTTCAGTCAAAACTTGATACAACTTACTGATTTAACTAATTTGTGAAATGATACAAAATATACTTACAATGTGTACAGATTCCAACGTGTATTGATCGTTTGTCGAAGAACAAAATTGAAACAATAGATTTAAAAGTAAAATTATTTGCAAATATCTTTCTTTATCAGCCATCTTTTGCGTTAATATTAAAACTTTTAAAATAATAACTTTTAAATCAGTGTCATGAAATTAATAGAAAAAAATTTTGGTTATGTTATTTATTTATTATTTTTTTTTTCAATATAAAAAGCGTAGTGCTTACTTCTCACCTGAATGAGAGGCACTATTTATTTTCGCGAATGCAATGATATTTATAATTCACTATAAAGATAATAATTCGAATAAGTGAAAAGAAGAGGGGAGGATAAATCGAACGAAGATAAATTAGTATCAACAAGTATATATATATATATATGTATATCAAGATTAAAATGTTTCCATATCTCGATTATATATTTTTAATAATTCACTTAAAGAGAAAGATTTGATAAATTAAATTACGAATGATATAACGAACAAATGATCTTAATTTAGTAGTAATAGTAACTAATAATTATTATCTACACATGTATCGTACGCATTTTTTATTTTCTTTTGATAAATACAACAAAGTTCTATCACACTTTCCTTCTCTCTGTTTGAAATATCGATTCTGTTGATTTTTATTTTCAATAAAATAAAAAAAAAAAGAAGAAAAAAATCTCAGAAATCAATCATCATCAATTGATAATGTTAAATCATTATCGTTTCAAGTATTTGTACGAGATTGTATTCTTACACTAGCTGGAACTATTTCTGATATATTCAAGAACTTAATAATTCTTTCACGAGTACATTTCAACATTTCGACATTGAAAAGTTCACGTTCAAGTTCAAAGAGAATTAAACTAACAATTTTTTTTTACCAATCCTGTTTATACTTTATTATCCACCTTTAAGCAAGATGAATTTTCAATCGAATTTTTAATCCATCTTGATACATGGCTTAAATTGGCATATGCAAAACAAGAGTGATGCTCGAGCATTACTTTGAAAAAATAATCAAAAATAAATTACCAACGACAAGATAAATATTATTTCTAATGCTAGTTATACGTTTAGAAAACACGTTTAAATCAAAAGATAAATGCGAAAAGATTCAAATTCAGATGGAAATTCATATGTCGACATTTCGCAAAATTGTGAAATTAACAATGATACTTAATTAAAATATGCTAATTCTTAAAGATATTAGATGATAGTGAATTTTCTAGAGCAAATATCTCTCTTTCTCTTTACTTAACCTTGATAAGATCTATTTTTCTACATTTTAAAGTTCACGTCCAATCATTTTCGAGAAGAATTTTCGTTGAGAGATCGCGACATCTGATTGGCAGTTTTAACAATTACTTTTCTGTAAAATCGCGCATGCTTGATTTTTCACTTTCGTTGCAGAATAGTTGGAAAAATTTACTTTTAGTCTGACATTTGTCCACAAATAAAATGATTTTCATTTTCTTGTCGTGTTATTGTTTCGAAATCGTAATTGTGAATTTAAATCGTTCGTATTATTGTATCACGTGATAATGCATCATACGTTTTGTGCTATTCGATGTTTTTGCTGTCAATTTCATTTATCATTCATTTGTTGCATGATACCGATTACACAGTTCCATTCATATATAAAATCTATCATAATCAATTATATCGAACAGATTTAACCAAGTATATCGCGAAACATTTCTCAATGTTTTCTTCATCGTTGGTCAAGAAACAAAGCAACTTTTGATTTACCTCCCGAGTCGATCAATTTGAAAGTTGCTCTTATTTTCACAGTATCGATCAAGTCGAAACAACTTTTGATTGGTTCGAGAAAAAAAATGATAATAAAAATTGTTGAAATCGTACGAATCGATGCATTTATTTTTAGAAAAAAGAAGAAACGTTTTCGAAAATAATATGATCGAAAATTTCGATATAATTATTCTTATAATAAATTCAAATAAATGTGGATCAAAAACATTCTTCCATGATTAAAAATAAAAATATTTATTTCTTAGCAAATTCGAATAAATTCTTTAGCGATCGAAACTATACGTAGTTTTATAGTTTTCCTTTTCTTATAAAACTGTTACGAAATGTTACTTTATGAAATTTATTCTTTCTAATTACGATTATTAATTTGTTCGAAATTTATAAAAAGATTTAAGTTTCTTTAACACGTATGAAGCATAATATAATGATACATCGAATCGAAGTCTTTAACGAAGATTTATAATTGGCCATATCGCGATGAACGTGATTGGTGGAACGATGATATTACATGCTCGTCAGTTTCTTACTTATAGTTCGTTACATAGTTGCATCATATGTGTCGAACTATGCGAGATAGAAGATCTACGTATAAAGATAAAATGTTATTTAATCATAATAAGTTTTTTATTTACTCATAATAAATCAAAGAAAATCTCAATTTAAGAACGCGAAATTAAACTCGAAAATACGGCATGTTAGAAAAGATAAGAAATTAGAGTCATTTTTACATATCTTTCTGATGCATCGTCATGCAAAAACGTAACCGTGTTCTTTCTCCCATTTTTATTCGTTTAATTTGGTCGATATCAAATAAGTGTAGTAAAGGAATCGTAAAAATTAAAAAAGAATAACAAAAGTTTTGCGATATTTATATTTTAATTTTTTTGAAATTGGTTTTTTTTTAGAGAAATTAAAATTTCCTCGAATAAAAATTTCAAATATACGTACATCATCAAATGATGCAACATCGCTATTTGTGATGCAGTTTTCATTTTTATTCGATATACTTCGCTACTATCGCTCGAATTTATGAAGAGGGAGGAGAGAGGGGGGGGAAAAAAAGTGAACATTTTTATTCATTCGTTTAACAAAAAATTAACTCGTTCAATAACCTATTCGAGAAAATGTGAAAAATGTGAAAAGTATAAAAGATACATTTATTTTTCTTCAATCGGTGTTTATTATTCAAACGGTAAAAAATCCACGATGGCAACTAGCAAGACAATATCGGAAACTCAGGCCACCTATTATCCACCTTCGTTAATGCCACCATTTATGGGCGCTTATCCACCGACCAAGTTGGGTGTCTCTTTATTCGAGGGTGGAAAGATAGGTTACTTTCAAAATTATAGAAACGAAACGTTGTCAAAATTGTCGGTAAGTTTTCTTTTTCTTCTCAAGAGAAAATATATCACGTTGTTAACATTATTTGTATCTAATCGACGATTCGTTAAGAAAAAAAAATTTAATTTTCAATTGTTGTACAAATTTTACAAATGATTCTTTGTCATATCTATTCTTCTCAAATTTCTCCTTCGCTTATTCTCATGTCTCATGGAAAGATACGGATTCTTTCAAATAGGTTTGAAAAAATGGGATAAAAAATAATTAAATATTAACAATTGTGTCTAATAATATAAATATATCAATGAATTTGATAAAACAAAAACAATGGTTCGATTAGTAAATATTTGTTACTACGAAAATCTATTATTCTCCTATCGTTTCCTAGATGCCATCGTACGAATGGGGAATGCAGAAAACTCCGTACAGTCCAAGACCTGAAATCGTCGCGGACACGATGCGTCGTAACATTAATCGTAATTTAATGGTGCAGACGAATGACATCTCGACGATCGATCAAAAGCGCATGAAGGAAATTGATGATCTGTTCAAAGTAAATAGATTATATATAATTCGTTTACCTTTTAAACGGATAATTTTGCGATTGATTAGTTTTTTCCCTTGAAATTACGATAATATTCGAATTAATTAAATTGTCCGTTCCGAAAATCATTTCAAATGTACGTTTAATCGAATGAAACGATCGGTCTGTGCCACAGACTGTTCTGTTCGCCAATCGTTATTCAATACGAGTCTATCGGGTATGAAAGTTTATTTGACTCGTTGACACGTGATATATAACATAATGTAGGTATTGAATTTATTGCATTCGACACATGGAATTTTGTGCAATGCTTTTATGTACGTGTATGTTTCGATTCGTACGAGATTTTCGATTTTTCCTACATGTGGATCTCTTCCATGATGTTGATTTTAATTTTTTTCTTTTATTATTCAACAATAATTATGGGAAAAGAAAAAAAAAGTTTGGAAAGATTTTACGCAATATTCATCGAGCTGTTCGATGTATTTTTCCAACTTCCGTGTTATCCATCATTGTTGGCGATAATTTTGAAGAAAATAAGTGTCGTTCAAGCAACTGCGTTACACACTTGAAGAGAGACGAGTTATTCTTGGAAAAAAATCTATATCTTTTCTCAAACTTTCTTTATCCACCTTTCTCTAGACATTTCCAGTCTTCTCTCTTCTTTTCCTGAATTTCTTCTCTCTACCTTAAAAGATTTTTCCTTCGTCTTGGAAATACACATGTGCAGGCTGCTCCTACCAAATAGTTGGCGCGTATGCAAAAGGATTCTGTTTTATCTCGGCTTTTCTTCTTCCGATATATATATATTTTTTTTCCCGCTCTCTATCTTCACATCTTCTTCCTCGAATCTTATTTAAACTTGGCGATTTTCTTCTTTTACCATTCAACGATCCACGGTCTCGATTCTAATTTCATTTCTTATCGTTAAGGTTATATCGTTTAGGTTAAGTTAGATTAGATTAATTATCGTAAATTATCGAATCGAAAGTCGACTCGAGATTGCATTTAAATTTACATCACATTTGTTTTTTAAGAAGAAGATTTCTTGCGTAATTCTCGAGAAATTGAAAAAGTATCGTATCTTTTCACAGTTAGTGCAGCTTCAACGTAGCACGTACAAGGACCGTACCGATACTTTCCATCCTTTGGTGTTCTTTACCTCCGATGAATACGAATATCAATGTGCACCAGGAATGACGCTATCGTACATCTTTAAATACCCAATGAATTACATCGAATACAAAATTCCAACGGTTTTACCTCTTACGTACGAAAGAAGGAAACAAACGCCATATATTCCAGACTTGTCTCTTACCGGAATATACACTAAAAAAGCTTGCATCGCTTATAAACGATGAGCGTCAACGTGTCCATTCATGTTGTGTAAATTAACTTACGTGTATTATTCGATTAAATAATATAAAAGTGTACATACGTTAAAAAAATCGACACATATTGCTTTGTTTAAATATATGTATTCTTTGAATATACTAAAAAAAAAAAAAAAAACAAATTATTAATTTTTCTTTTATCCATCTCACTATTTTAATCGCAGTCAGATAGACGTATTTTTTATTTTATAGTCAACTTCAGATAATTAGACTAAGTACAATTAAAGGAAAATTATATTATAATAGAAAAATTGGAAACGTTTTAAAAATATACACAGTTATATTTATCATTGAAAAAAATATACAATTTTCGTAGGTCGAATAGTTGACGAGATATTAAAGAAAAATATTTTTTCGTTCTCAAATTCGAAAGGCTGTTTTCACGTCCTAGATGTGGACGATTGCCAATAGGGGAAAAGGTATAAGGTGTAAAATGTTTTTTGGAAAAAAGTTTTCTCGAAAAATTCGCATCGATCGGTGAATGGACCCATCCTTGTGTCAAAAATGAATGAATAATCTCGATTCGAATGGAATTAATTCGCGACAATACCTTTTTGAAACTGTTACATAATTGTTAGTTAATTATGTAATACGTGATATGGACGCGTACGAAATTCCAGGTATAAAATTATTCGTTTGCTTTGATACGAATATCGAAATTACAGAAATAAATTATCGTGATGTAAGCGTAATTAAATTTTAAAGCGAAACGATGACCAGAATTCTGAAATTCTCGAGGAGAAACGTATAAATTCTTCGCAGGAAATGCTTCCCTGCCGATTGAACACCATCTCTTGAAGTATCTAAAAAAAAAAAAAAAAAAAATTTTAATTATACACACGTGTGTCGATAAAAAAGATAAAAAGAAATAAATTAAAAACATTTAATACGCGTTATAAAATTCGTAGAGAGAATATTTGACTTTATATTTTTCGCACGTCTTGATTCTTTTTTTTTTTTTTTTAATATTCAAACTTTTGTTTAATGATATGTTTTCAAATATTACATATTCACAGGAAATTTGAATATTCAGTTACCAGATTTAATTAGCTTCTTTAATGTTCAGCGCAGCGTTGTTCGATGAAATTTCATATGCATCAATCGGCTCTATCGGAATTCCAACCGATATATAATTCATCGAGTCATGATCCGAAAATATAATGGTTATAAATATAATTTTCCATATTGTCATTCACGATACAATAAGTAATCTTTTCTTAAACGTGCGAACGAACGAATTTTCTTCTATCTATCCTTTTTTTCCTTTATTTTTTCGATTTTAATTCGACTTGTATTTACACGTAGCGTATCGACAAGTTTGAGGTTAAGTTCACATACGCAGAGACTAAGAGGGAATTGGAAAATTTATTGTTTATTAAGCAATGTTGTCCAATGTTTATCGATAATTGATCCGCATTTCGGAACAAATATACACGCGTGTTTCTATTAAAACATTAATATTCCCACGAACTATGCATCGATCACTATGGTGCAGAGTTATTTGATTTTCCAAATTACTTGATTCCACGCTGTTTGACTTTCGCAGAATCGCGTAAAATTACAATTGCTGTAATCGAAAATTGATAACGAGTTTTAGAAATTCGTTCAGAATTATTTATAATAATTCCATCCCGTAGTAGTATACGCGCGATCGCTTATCAATCAATGATTTCAATCATTTCACAAGTTACATTATATTATTGCACAGTTACAATTCCACTTTGGATAGAATTATCGATGAATTTAGAATTTAATTCAATTTATTCGCGCGAAAGTTAATAATAATTTTTTTCCCCTCCTAACCCTCCACCCCTTCGTTTATACACGGACATAATGGAATCCATCGATCACTTCGAACTGAAAATTAATACTTTCGTAGAATTTTCTCATTTTCGGTTCGGCGAAATTGCGTGTTGATAAATTTTGATAAAAAAAAAAAAAGAAAAAAATAATAAATAAATAAAAAATAGAAAAAAAAAAAGGAAGCGATTTAGTGGATTTCCTCTCAATCAACGCCACGTACGTTTAAAATCAATCTTTATCAATTTGACAGATTAATAGAGGCCTGTGGTATTTTTAAGGGATACCGAAGCTTATTTTAAAAGCAAGATCGTAAAATTGAACCTGTAAATTATGCAAATATTATAAACTGTCGATAATCATTAATATCTCACGATTTCTATTTGCGAGAGAACGTGGTACGTAAAATATTGATAAAAATTGATTTTGCAAATGCGAGATGCACTCGGTAGAACTAGTTCTAAATATTGTTTTAATATTACTGTATTATTACACTAATGAAATTCTAGAGAAACGAATGTTCGCTCGTTCCTTAATGTTCCTTATGTAAACTTCAAATGGAATTGAACGTTCTTTTAAGTATTTGACGAGTATCCTATGATCCGGAGTATTTCGAAAATTATGAAAGTCTTAAAAGCGTCGGTCTCGAAACACCGGGGCAAAGAAAGTTCCCGAATATTAAACTCTCCTCAAAGCGATAAAAGATTCAAAACGATTTATTCGACGAAATATTCGAGAACAGAGAGAGCCGTAACTAATATAACTAACGAGTCCTTCCGGATTCTCTCTCTATTAATTAATTGCAACTATCCTCGTGAACGTCCGAAAATTGTCTATGCGAAAACGACGACTATCCACAAATCTTTCGTTTAAAGATTCGCTCGAACATATCGATGCTGAAAAATTCTCGAATATCTTATTTTTATCTTATCTCATTCGAGTAAATGTTTATCTTGCCGTTGTAAAATTTATAACGAACACACTTTCTTACAACTTGTTACACTTTGCAATTGTCTGTGATGTAACAAACACGTGTCAAGATTTTGATAGCTGGAGTAAAGGATATCCGACATACGCACATGCGTACAACGATAGCGTTATCATTGTCGCTTAATCGTTTCACGATCACAAATATTTCCTGTATTACACACGATTTATCTCGCACACAGTTATGTACACAGTTTATATCAAGATTTATATCACGCAATATGAAAAACTTACTATTCCCGCGACGTGTTCTGCCTCGGTCGAATCGTTCTGGTGAGGCCACATCAGTTTCTGCACAATTTCGATTAAATCGTTCGACGAGATTTCACCGTCGCCGTTCAAATCTGGAAAATGAAGATTGTTAACAGTGTCGATAGTAGCCAGGGGTTATCCACGTATTCTATCACTCCTATATTATCACGTGTTATCAAAACGGATTGAAAACCGTTCACTTGTTTCACGAGTGCGAATAAAATAGAACAAATTACAATCGAATAGAAATGGAATAATCTATTTTGTCTTCTGATCTGAAAAATCGAAGGTGCACGAGATATGAATCCGTATATTTTTCAGGTGACGATACGACAGTTTGATCACTTTAGAATTCTAACCTCTATCTTATTATTGTAATTACGTTACGCGTTATCCATATCGCGTAAAAAAGGATCAATTTCGTCAATGTTTTTTCCATTACTCTTTATCGTTGTTGTTGTTGTTGTTGTTTCTTTTTTTTTCTTTTTCTTCTTTTTTCCATGTTTTTCTAACTCTAGATCGAATACGCTTCTTTCCCTGCCGCGCCACTGTAACCACCTTTAACTCCCCACTCTCCACTCCACTATTGTTTCTCCTCCTTTCACGATCATTCGTGCGACGTACATTCGTATATTATTCGTGAAATTAAACTTAAATCGATAAAGAGATTCTGCCAAACGGCTCGTCGAAAATTATTTCTGTAATTCCGTTCGTGTAATATTTTTTATTCAACGACACTTACTACTAATATTTTTATATATGAAATTTGAAACGAAACAGAAACGAAGAATAGTGAAAAGAAGAATTTTGTCACAGGCTATGATAAATAAATTGGATGTTTTATCGTTTTATCTTTGGCTCTGAATCGAGAAACATGATGGACGAAAATTTAGAATTATTCGTATTACGAAAACAATTCCTAATCTGGGGGATATATAATTCCTAATAGCAGATGGGGAAAAAAGGAAAAAATTTATTCACAACGCAAAATCGATAGACGCAATTTTCGAACAAATTTCGCGCTCGATGTATTAAATTTTTGCATTGATAGTTGATCTTTCGACTTCTTCGATTAATAAAAAAAAAAAGAAAGAAAAGAAATGAAACGAATAACTTTATTACCAAACACGTAAAACGCCCAAGTGGCGCGAACATTGTCGGGGCAATATTCGGAGAAGACCGAGCACAAGTCCAGAACATCCTCCAAGCTCAATCGTTCGTCTTTCTTCGAAGAGAATACTCGATATATAGAGTCACGAAATGGACTGCACTGAAACGAATTCAAACGATACGATGAATAATTATTCGATAATGACGATCGAAACGAGGATTACTCTACCTATTTATTTATTTATTTATTTTTTCCTTGGCTTTATTTCTCTTATTAATAAACTCTTTTATCTGCGTGAAATACATCGTTAAGAATTTTTAATACCTTATCGAAAGCGTCCGAAGATTAAGAAAATGTTTACAAATAATCGTCATCGATGATTGATTGACGTGTTTTGGATTTTTCCAAAGAGTATTAAGAATTACATTATTACATTACATTATATTAGAATTGTATCTTGAACCAATGAAAAAGTGTATTTAAAAATATCGTCGAAAGATTTAACTTACTCGAAGTTGCGGAAATATCGTCTCGATTTCCTCGATGGTGAACCGATAATGATGATTCTGACGAAGTTTCCCAGGATTCACGTTGTCGAGCAAATTGATCACGCTGGGGAATCGATCGAACAAAGAAAATTCACACAAAGTTTTCCTTTGAAAACTTAAAAATCCTCTCACTCTCTCTCTCGAATTAATAGGTTCAACAAATACTTACTGCTGTATTTCATCTTTGTTCAAATACGTTAACTCCACGTAAGTGGCGATCGTCTCCTGGTCAAGGATGTGATCGGTTGAGAAAAAATTTGTAAAGCGAGTCGAAAGATTACCCATAATAATAATGAAACAACTGCATTTGTGAACTCCGATAAACTGAATGTAATTCCAATGTAATTCCATGCCAATCGTGAATTTGATATCAATAGATACGCGTTATCTCTTCAATCAAACAGATTCTTCGAAAATCTATTTGCCAACGATTCGATTCTCAAGTGCACGCCCAATGTTGCACCTATCTATATCTTGTTTGAATCTACTCGAGTGTTGAAATTCCGTCTAATTGGAATAATATTAACACCGACAATACAAAACACCGCCCCATTCGTTTCATTATCGTTCGTCCATTTTCCTTCGTTCGTCATAAAATTCAAATTGATCGAACGTTGGAACGCCAATATCGATCCAAATATTGCGCTCTTCCGTGTATCTCTAATTCACGAAAGATCGATGGCATTTTTACCCGATTTATTAAAATCAAGCGTTCCGCCATTTTCTCCACCTCGCGGTAAATTTTTAATGGGTCGTGAAATGATAGATGCCTCTCCGACGCTTGAGCCCGGCGAACGCTCAAATACCCATAATTTCATTTATTAATACACTTATTCTCGTTCTTGATTTTCACCGAGTTCCTCCATTTTAACAATCTTAACTGTTCCTACAACAATAAATAGTTAATATGAAAGACGAGATATAGAGAGAGATAGATTCGATCAAGTTTTCTCGATTAATCAAACCCGTTTAACGCTGGCAAGCAACACTTCTAACATGGCTCCCCGGTCCATTAGCAGGCGGTGAAAGAAATGCATATTCATGAAAATAATAAATAAGAGGCGAGAGATTTATAGGTTGAATTAGGGGCGTGGACAGCGGTCGGACTTGAAGGATTCCCATAGAATTAAGTAGAGTGTAGTAGAGCGCCACGTAAATGATTAAACCGATTACACCTGGAATGCAGAGAATTTCGGTGGATCGGGGGAACACGGTTTAATTAGACCGTCAATGAATGAGCTTACTGATTGGAAAACGGTCGTATCGCGCGATTTGTACGCTTGCCAGAGAATGATGTACTTCAGCTCAAGGAGTGGCTCCTATCGATTCGGTTAAACTTGTAAAGTTCGTCCGTAATTGATGTTAATTCGTTTCCTGATTATCGATTCGATCGTATTATCGATGAACGGAATTGCTATATAATTTTAAGGCTACTTCGATTCCACAGTTTGGCGTGTCTTACGAGAGAGGCCTTGCTCGATCACGATTCTTTATTTCGATGCACTTCTTCTCTCATTCTCTCTGCAAGAATCGAGCAAAAGTATTTTTATTTAAAGCGAGACACTTTAGGATAGATTTGAATTTGATTTGGATTACTTTAAACACAGAAAATAAAAAAAAAAGAAAAAAATATCGTTAAAAGGAACAGTTGAAGTAGTAGTTAAGTAGTAGTATAACGTAGTTTGTATGCCATTTATTAAACGATACATCATCGTTTAATAAATTTCGAATAAATGGGGACAATACTGCTACTTCACCGTTCGTGTTACCTGTCATCCTGTTGTTTCGCGTAATTTTCAGACAGTTTATGCACATTATATTTCACTGGGTTATATACAAGCTACGTGTTTTATTGTTAATTGTTCTCGTTATCTTTTGTCTCTAATCTGCATTATCTTTTCAATTAAATCGTCACGAATTTCGAATTTAATTAAATAATTTTATTTTACAATAAAGACGTTTCCATTTCATTCCCTCGCTTTATGATTTTCGATAATATTAATAGGTTTGTTCTTGAAAACAGTGAGCACGTGCACTTGTTCATCAAATTGTGAAACAGCGAAGAATATTTTGAGAAGATGTAAAAATGTCCGTTGCAGACAGGCCAACAGGCCAACAGCCTGATAATAATAATTGTTCGCTTTAAATCGTTCTCGAATATACACACAACATCGGTGACTAATAACGAAACATTCCGAATAATGATCTCGTTTGATCAAAAGGGATCGCTTTCACGTTCACGTTTTACACGTCAACAAGCTTAATTATAACTTTAAAATAAAAATCTTTCGTAATCTCTGCGTAATTGATCTTTTTTTCTTCCGTTCCATTGTTTTATTAAACGATACATCATCGTTTAATAAATTTCGAATAAATGGGGACAATACTGCTACTTCACCGTTCGTGTTACCTGTCATCCTGTTGTTTCGCGTAATTTTCAGACAGTTTATGCACATTATATTTCACTGGGTTATATACAAGCTACGTGTTTTATTGTTAATTGTTCTCGTTATCTTTTGTCTCTAATCTGCATTATCTTTTCAATTAAATCGTCACGAATTTCGAATTTAATTAAATAATTTTATTTTACAATAAAGACGTTTCCATTTCATTCCCTCGCTTTATGATTTTCGATAATATTAATAGGTTTGTTCTTGAAAACAGTGAGCACGTGCACTTGTTCATCAAATTGTGAAACAGCGAAGAATATTTTGAGAAGATGTAAAAATGTCCGTTGCAGACAGGCCAACAGGCCAACAGCCTGATAATAATAATTGTTCGCTTTAAATCGTTCTCGAATATACACACAACATCGGTGACTAATAACGAAACATTCCGAATAATGATCTCGTTTGATCAAAAGGGATCGCTTTCACGTTCACGTTTTACACGTCAACAAGCTTAATTATAACTTTAAAATAAAAATCTTTCGTAATCTCTGCGTAATTGATCTTTTTTTCTTCCGTTCCATTGTTCGAATCCATCTTTTATCTTATATTTAAAAACTTTTGACACAAATCTTAATCTTTCATCGTTAAATTTATTCGAAGCTTTATTCGAAGGATATTACAAAAGGATTGCTCGAGAGGATAGGGAATGTCCACGAAACGCAACAAAGTATCGGAGTATTCTTTCGAACGAATATTCCCGACGTTAAACGCGACGAAACACTGGCGATGATAACTGAAGGGGATAGAAGGGTGAGGCTGAAAACCGGCCAATAATTATTACACGACTCTACGAAGCGGTTATTGTCCCAAATTGGGGGTCGCTTTGCGGATAATGGGTGTGCTCGAGAGGTCATGTGAGCCTGACGTTCCAGCATGTCAACAGCAACTATGCATCATCGGATGTCTGGCGCACGTAAACGCTGTTCCCTTCCTACCTTGTTTCTCTATCCATCCTTTTCTCTCTTCGATTCTCTCTCGCCAATGGTTATGCTTTGCCTCGCGTCATCTATTTCTCTTTCTAGCCTTCTCCATCGCATAATTCGATCATCATAAATCGAATCCTCGATTCGTTCGATCTCAACGATAAAAACTCTCGAAAGTCGTTCGAGAGTGAAAGTTACTTTTCGATGGTAAAATGGTGGTCTCGACGCATCTCCGATATTTGCGAGAAAATCAAGCTTTGAAATGCAAAAAAAAAAAAAAAAGCTTTTCGAATCTACGATAAAATAATAAAAAAGTTTGGAAGAAGTTTCGTACCTAGATTTTTGAAACGAACAATTTCTGTGATGGAAGAATGGGAAGAACTTGAATTTGAACGAAACACGTCATTTGCCAGAGGTACAATGTCAATGTAATCTGTTCATTCGTTCCATATTGAACTCGTTCGTATCCTTACGGAAGTGGCGACATAGACTTAGAGAGAGTCGGGTATGTGTGTAACGTTCCAACACATGTAGAGAGGGCGCGCGGCAAGTGCAGGATCGAGCTAGCTGCATATCTCCAGCCTAGGAATTGGAGTGGATGGCGAACGTGGGTACAATAGTTCGCATTGTATTGGATCTCTCCGAGTGATAGGCACCCTCCCCGCCCTCTATCCGTTCCCGTCTGTCTCTCTTTCTCCCGATTCCTTGCTGCTTCTCCTTCCTACGCTTCGTTGCCTACCGTCGTATCTCATTTTACGAAGGCCTCGAGCGCGCGTTATTATGCGCGTTATGCCGCTGCCTCACCATTCTATATCGCCATTGCGGCCAACTGCATCGCATCTGCCCGTTTTCTGCTCTTCCGCTTCTATCGCAACGCCATCTCACCTACCGACCAATCGATCTTTCCACCTTTCGATTACCTATTTCCTATATACCAAACTTCAATCAATTACACACATTGTACATTTTCTTCAATCCTCTAGCATGGTCACCGGTCGACAAATTTGAAATGGTCGCGCTTCGTGCCGATGGAAGCGCGTTGTTTCTATACTTCGGTCTAGATAAAAATAGAAAAAAAATAGCGAATAAACAATAGAGATACGATTGAAATTGATAGAGTTAAATCATTATTTTGATTAAAATAAAGTAAATCTTTGTAATTGAAAAAAAAAGGGGAGAAAAATAGGTTTGTTATTTACAGATAGGATCAAGTGTGCTGAAAATAGGTTAGAATTTTATCTCGAGTGAGAAGTTTTGAATCGAGAATAGAATTTTGAACGAGATAGATTATAATTCTACGTAAGTATTTTGAATAAGCAGCAATTTCACGTGTAATCGAACCTTGATCAAGAATATTCGAATATTCTGCGAGAACTTTAATCAGAAGGTGTTTTGTTCTTTTTACAATGCAGCGAGATTACCCGTGGGCGATAAGTTCCAACTTTTCTTCCGTGAATCGATGGATAGTAGATGCACATATCGCGCATGATTCATATTTATGATTCAATTTCTCTTTTTTACAATGAGACGAATCATAAAATACGATAATGAAACGAGACAAACGATATGGATATTTAATTTTTCAACGTTTACTTTACCACTTCGAATATGTATTTGTTGGATTCAAGAACGCCTCAAAAAGATGCTTATTTTTTTTTGGTAAATTTTTTCTAATTAGATTCTACATTTTTTTTTTTATAGGAACTCTAAATTTCATTGTTGTATCATAAAAATTGAATCGAGGTTAAAACGTGTTTTGTGTCCCAACGAATTCTTATTCTTCTACAGATATGGAAACTGACTGATTGTCAGTGAGGGCTCTTCTCGCATCCAATAATACGATTTGGCAAATTTCGAAAAATTTACATATGTACCTCATTCGAATTTTTTCTTTACCTGCATTTTTTTGCTGCTTTTTTGCCTGAAAGTTCTTTAACAATGATGGTGGTA